TTGTACTGCCAGTCTTTGTCTTAGCATCTCATCTGCTAGTATTTTCGCGACCTCCATGACTGTAGTTTGCCACACCTGGCTTCCCCCCAGGCTGTGATTTTTGGGCGGTTCTTGCAATCCTGTCATCTGATTGTTGAGTCCGAGTTGTTGGCCACCGGTATAATCTGGCACGGATTGACCATGTGGCGGTACCCATGGTTGATTTATTCCGCTTGCTCCTTCTCTTTGTGGCAGTCCGGACCTTCCTGTGTTCCCTGAATTGCCTTGGCGTTGTTGCTGCTGCTGAACTCTTGCTGCCGCGCCCAATGAAGATTCCGCCATCGTTTGATGTGGAATTTCTTCCGGCAGGTCTCTTGCCGCTTCCATGATGCCGCCTGTCATACTTGCGTTCAGCTCTGGTCTTTCTTGTCTACTTGAGTGTTCCTGGCGGAAAAGTTGTCCGCTATTGCTGGGTCTTCTCCTTGTTCACCGACTTGTTGTCGAAGTTTCAGACAACCATCTGTGGCTGTGTGATTCCACCAACGGCAGCGGTCGCAGTACGGTGTATGCTTGCACACGAATTAGATATTGACGTTCTCTCCGTCGTCTAACCGTATCGGGAGCGTCGGTTCGAAGGCTCCCTCTGCTTCCGGCACGAGTTCGAACTTCATGTTCATAAGTTTTGGCCTTGTTGTGTCCGGTTGTGGGGGAATTGCATTGATAATTCTCCCCATGCTCTGCTCCACCATGTCTGCGATGGGAAACATCGCCCGTAGTGGGACTCGCAGAGCCATTACCCAAAATTTTGAAACTTTTTCCAGGCGTCTCCGTTCTTCCAGCTCCAGACGTGTCATCCAAGGTTTAAACAGCATTTTATACGCCACTCCTCTGATCACCACATTGTCTTCTCCCTTATTTACCATCCACTGTGCCACCTCCCTTGACATAGCCACATACGACATCACATTCCGACCCTCCGAGTGTGTCCTGCCTCTTTTCGGTGTTCTACTAAAAGTTCGGGTCCTCGCCCAGCCGTTCCCGTATGCCCGTACCAAGTCTTCCCTCATCTTCACCGGTAGCGACCTCGCTTCCCCTTGAAAAATAATCGTGACTGTTCTTTCTTTCAACCATTTTGTGGTCAATTCACCCACTTGTTTATCTACCACAAAGATCCTTGCTCCATTTTTGAAGATGAATTTTCCCTGCCTCAGCCTTTCGGGGAAGACCCCCTCTTCGTAGCACTTTGCGATCAGAAACTTCACCCGGTCTTCTTCTGAAATTGGGATCTTGCCTTGAGGCGGGGGCGATCTGTCCTCCCCTCTTCTGTTTCTTCCTTCAGTGCCATTTTGGCTTGCCATTGTCTTCTCGTCCTGTACCCTCGTAACTCTTACGCTGCTTACCCCTCCTTCTTCAGTCCACAGTCTACTATGCTATTCGCAAACCTACCTCTGAGAGGCGGACGCCTTCCGGCGCACGCCCAACACAACTTCTCTTGCCTCACATGTTATCTCGCACCTTTTGCTGTAAACTATGCCGTAGTTCGGGGCTGGCCTACCCGCCACAGTCTCCCTCTTCCGAGGTTGCATGGTCCTTACCGGGGGAGACGTCTCGAGATTACCAAGGTAACATCATGGTGGTGATATCTCGGCAGACCAGTTCAGCTATTAGCGCTGAAGACGCCGACTTAGAACGCGAACATCGCGTCAACCGCTGCGCTCCCCCGGCCCAAAGCTCTCGAGTAGTGCTAACCCTAATCGCTAATTCGGCGCGTTGATAGTGCAGAGTTAGCGCAGAATTAGCGCAGAGTTGATAGCCGTGCTTTCATGTGGGACCAGTCCACCATCTACTATGCTATTCGCAAACCTACCTCTGAGAGGGGGACGCCTTCCGGCGCATGCCCAACACAACTTCTCTTGCCTCACACGTTATCTCGCACCTTTTGCTGTAAACTATGCCGTAGTTCGGGGCTGGCCTACCCGCCACAGTCTCCCCCTTTCGAGGTTGCATGGTCCTTACCGGGCGAGACGTCTCGGGATTACCGAGGTAACATCATGGTGGTGATATCTCGGCAGACCAGTTCAGCTATTAGCGCTGAAGACGCCGACTTAGAACGCGAACATCGCGTCAACCGCCGTACTCCCCTGGCCCAAAGCTCTCGAGTAGTGCTAACCCTAATCGCTAATTCGGCGCGTTGATAGCGCAGAATTAGCGCAGAGTTGATAGCCGTGCTTTCATGTGGGACCAGTCATCTTTTTTTTTTTTTTTTTTTTTTTTTTTTTTTT